AAAAATGTAATAACTGATGTACTCTGTTTGAATGTGATCTGTGGAGACCGTATTTTGCCCATAGTACACAATTAATCTATCTGCAATGGCAATTGCAAACTGCGTGTCCTGAAACAGGAAGCATATGCTTAGAAAGGCATGAATTTAACAAAAAGACTTTCAAGTTTTTTAAAGTAACTAATTGTATTGTTGTTCTTACAAACAGAGACACTCTTTCAGCACTCCGAAGTCTAATCTCTCTGTCAGCTTGTTGACCTTGTAGCACAAGGAAGCCTCTCTCCACAAACACACAGAAAAAGGACTCCTAAAACAGAAGAAACACATGGATTTTAAATCTTTTTTTGTTTGTTTTTTTGTTAAACATGCAGTTATATAAGTGCTTCAAGCATCTATTCAAAAATTAAAATCCTACGTTGTTTCCAATGTAGAATAACAAGGCATTTGTTTCTCGGCTGTTTGTGTGAAATCTGAACAGTCGCCTCTTTTTCCAGTCAGGATCCTTTATGAACGCCATGCGGTAACCTCTTCCTTCATAATAATCAGACACCTCTTCCTGTGCAATCCTAAACACATACTTTAATCATTATTTGACCTTTTCTAGTCAACACAATGTCCGACCTTTATTTTTAATTTTTTGTTTTATGCTTACTTCACAGTGTGCTGTTTTGCATCCATATTGACAGCATGTTTGAAGTTAAAAAGGCAGACAGGATTATCATTCAGATAGGAGAGTTTTATGGCTCCTCTGTACTTGGGGTAACGCAGCTCCACTGGAGGCTATGAGAACAAAAGAGGACTGAAAATTGGACTGAAAAAGTGAACATGTCATTTACTAATGCAAATGATTTTGTTGAGTACACTCCTGTTCTCTAGGGCTCAGAAGCTCTAAGCTATTTTTCATTAACCCATTCCCACAAAAGGATGATGACAGACTGTGATAGGGACTTTGTATTTCAACTTCTTCACAAAAAGTACCTTTCTCACTAAATTGTTCAATTTCAGTCTCTGAATAAGACTGTTGTATGTCATTCATGCAGTCTATGGAACCCTATTTCCACAAAACAAATATTGTCATATATACTATAAAACAGTGATATAATATATAAAATCAAATCCATATCAAAATTGGGAGATCATGGCTTCCATCAAAACACTTCTTTCAGCATCAAATAAATTCCAAATAGTTTTCAAAGAAAACTTAGAAAATCATGCAATACGTTGAGTTACCCCATGAGTCAAAATCTTGACAATAAACAATACAATAAACCTTTTTCCGTACTTTTTTCTTTACTTCTTCCACCCATCAAGTCAACTGAAGCTGTGTGTGCTGGAAACTAGTTTTTATATGTTAGCTTTTCCTTTATTTAAAACCCATTATCGTTGGCTAAACAAATGAAAGACACAGTGTCTAAACTTTCTGTGTGCTTGCTTGTGTGTTATACAAAAGTTATCATTGCTATTGCAACGTTTACAATTTTACACAAGCTTATTAAATGAGTTTGAATTGGCTTTGAGTCGTCTTTCAACTCTCTACCCCTTTAAACACTATAAATTTGCAGGCAGGATGAAATGAAAGCAGAGACTTATTACAGTGAAGTAATCGGGATAGCCCCCCACGTAGAAAACGACACTGCCTGGATCCAAGTCGAAGACGCCTGTCATTGTGTTTGGGAGGTTACGTTTAGGAGGGAGACTGACACGCTCCTTTGACGTGAAGTTCTTTGTGACGTTCACTTCAGCGTCCTGGTAAACCCTGCAGGAATTGTTGGCACGAAGATAAGAAACATGTTGGTGACATCATGTAAACTTTCAGCTAGCAAATCCATGTTCATTTTAAAATACACTTCTACCATATGTACTCAGTACCTGTGGAAGATAACTCTGTCAACGGCTGAGGAGTTCACGCTTCCGAGTGTTATTTGGCTGGTTTCTATCTCATGAACCACTCCACCCAACTTATAGACACAAACCAACACAGTGTTTCTGATAGCCATTCCAATGTAGTCTCCAGAAGCCTAGAAATGTAATAAAAGAAACCTAAGGTATATTAAAGAAAAAAACAAAAAACTACATCATGCTTCCTGTGTAGGCCGGTATGCACGCTCACATTCTTGCTGCCCAGGTAGAAAACGAACAGGTTGCCATCTCTGTGTTCATCCTGGTGTCGTTTTCGTCTCACATCAGACTTAGCCGGGGTTTTGTGATGCCGATTGAGGAGAAGATTGACAGCTGTAAACGCTTTAATGTCCTCAAGGTCTCTTGGAGGGTGAAGCTCAATGTGGCTCTTTCCATTGAAAGTGGTGCCAAGAGAGAGCTGTGATAAGAGACGGTAGAAATTGTGTGTGTCACAAAAACAGATGATTTATGTGTTTTTAAAAAATAAACTATTGTATTCATACATTTATTATTTTATTTTTACAAATTAGGGGTAATGGAAACAAGGTTGCACTACTTTGAGTTCTATTTTTGCTCCACCAACTCAAGCAGAATTTCTGGGGTTTTTTGGTATTTCCGATGTGAATGTTTGCATCAGAGTTACTAAATGAAGCAGCTTCCCACATGTAAATAATTGTAATGTCACCATCCAATTAGTAATTCTAGCTGGTAAAGTCTGTTTATTTCTGAAAGGTCAGACTCAGCAAAAGAAAAAAGTAACCAAGTATATTAGCTTTTTGACTCAGCACCAGCATTTAAGGCCGTATTGTGTTCAGCAGATTATCTAAAACTTCCTGAGAGCAGTCGCATGTAGCTGACCCTGTAACCTGGTTGATCCTCCAGACAACAGATGTCAGTCTGGGCTGTGCAAAAATTTAGTTTCCCATAGCTGGCAGCCTTGTTACTCCTGATCAGGGGGGAAATACTTTCAGCTTTATCTATGAATCAAGCCAAAATACAATCCAGCTATCATGCTCTGTCCTCCTTTCACCAAAAACAAGGGAAATACTGAAGATAATCTGCACACTCCAAGGCCAAATGAATTCTCTTTGGATAGTGCTTACATAGCACTTAATATATAATGTGTTCATTTGAAACAGCCTTAAGCAATATATTAGTACTTTTGAGAGTTTATAATGACTCCTCTATATTGTCAATGCTGATCACTCATCTGTTCTTATATTACTTGATCTTACTGTTGCATTTGATACAGTGAATCATGAAATATTAATTTCCTATCTTCAGCAGTGTAGTGATATCAATGGCACTGCTCCAAACTGATTAAAGTCATATCTGATTAACGGTTCTTTTTCCAGTAGGATTTGTTCTAAAGCGTCCACTTTGACCCGTGGCATACCACAGGGGTCGATTAAAGGCCCTATTCTGTCTCAGGCTTCATACCTTAATGTCATGTAAAGAAACCTGGTGTAAATTGTGATTCCTCTCTGAAATTAAAGACAGATTAAATCTGTCACTATAGCTAGCTTCTTTTAATAATGAAAGTCAAACCTCTTGTTTAGTTTATTAACCTTTAATAACCTTTCATCATATTATTATGTTTTCCTAATTGTTGTATCGATTGTTGTGCAGCACTTTTGCCAGGGTCTGCTGTGCTTTAATGTGTGAAATAAATGAACGTCCCTTGAATTGAAAAGTAAATTGCAAACATAATAAAATATCTGTCTCAGTAATAGCAGGTAACACTTTACATTAACAATCATTAAAAAAGATATTTATTAAAAAAAATAAATATCTTGTAATTAGATTAAAAGTTTGTATTATTGTTTTTGCTCGTATTGTTAATACTCCTGTTTGAGTTACTTCCTGTTTTATTGAATAATATTTTCTTTGTGATCGTTAATAACATCCTGCTTCCCTCTATTTTCTGTGCCACTTTTATTCAACTAGTTAATCACTCGCCCCAGCATATGTACCACCTGTTGTTCATTTTTCTGTTGCCACGTGGTCTTTTAATGTCTTGGAGTCAAGCATTTAATTTAGTGCAATTTTTTGTGACATGATTTTATTTATTTATTTTTTGTATTCATTTTTATTATTTTAAAGTTTTTTTAGTTTTTGTTCAAGTGTGAATTTTTTTAATTTGTTTTTTTATTTCACTTTTGTGTATTTGTTTGGCCTTTCTGAGTTATTTGATTTTCTTGTATTGCATTTATTAATGAAAGCAATGCAATACTGTGAATTTTTACATTTTAGCAGTGCTAATTTCTCTTGAAAACTTGAAGATACCTGCAAAGAACCATGAAGCTGAGGAAAACTGCAGACACAGCCGACAGCTTCATAAGGTTCAGTCTGCAAGCTACACATTTCATATGCACACTGTACTGTCATACACTGTGAGGCTGTTCCAGCTTTAAATCAAATCTGACAAGTCAATTAAGAAATTAATAGGAAATATGAAATTAAAAAGAAAATGTTACCCTATTAACAAAGTTTCTTGTCTCCTCTATTATGTCCTTGATTCTCTGGATGCTTTCTGTCATGTTTGGGTGAGGTGACATCCTCCTACCAAGAGCCTTGACTTCTGCGAGCTTGTCACTCATCACAGGGAATGCTTTGTTGAAGCTTTTTACTTAAGCGGATAAAATAACAACACATAAAACCTTTAAATGACTGCATTTTAACTGCAAGAATATGTTTAAGTAATTTAAACACTTACCAGCCTGGTCTGCATCTGTCAACATGTCATTTATATTCATACTGATATTGGTTAAAGTTATTCTTCCCACTTCCTCGCTGATATTTCTCAGTCTCTCTTTCACACTGCTGACTGTAGCGTTAGCATCAGAAGCAGCAGTTTTCACAGACACTATCAGTGCCGCTGTGTCATCTGAAATACAAAAGAAAAACTATCATATGCAGATACAATAACTAATTTGACGTTTATTTTCTGATCTGCATCAATTCCAAGTGCTCTACAAACCTCTTTTGATCTCTTTGAGTTTGTCACCGATGGATGAGGTGTCGATTCTCAGTGATCTTCTTTTTTTCTTTTGTTTATTTACACGATTCCTGTGAGCATTTACTGTACGTGACACCGCTGTTCAAAAGAAATTAGAACACCTTTTCATTTTGCACATTCAAACTCAATATATTTGTCTTGATACTTGTTTTGTTTTTACATACTTTTAAGGTGACTTTGAGTGTCTCTGGTTTCCCTCCATAGATGACTTGAGTTATCTTTCAGCTGTTCAGACCTGCTGATCAGACCTCCCTTCTTCACATCCTAATTTATCATTCAAATATTGCATTAATATTTTCTATAAACACGTAGATTTTTTAATAACTCTTACTAACAGCACTGAAGTTACCTTTAAGGTTTGATCAGCAGCCCTTTTGGACTCCTTTGCTGCCTTCTCAGCCATTTCTACTGCCTTAATGATGCTGTCATAGGCCCCTATACCCAGGAGGCTGACCAGTGAAGTGCTGTTAGTAGCGGTATGAAGCGCTCTGTAACAAAATCCAAGATGGTCTATTATGTTAAAAAAGAAACGGGGCCCAATCTAATCTAAATCTGCCTTGCTTCTTTATTTGTTCTTGGGATTCACACTCACTGTTGTAATTCTGTCACCACTCTTTTGAGCTCCTTTGCATGCTCCTCTGCCTGGGCTATAGCTTCCACCTCTGCTATTATTAAACTGTTGTTTAACTGCTGAAAGTATTCCAGCTTGGCATCCAACTGAGCTCCTCGCTTCTCAAATTCCTGCAATTTAAACAGTAAACTTTAACGCAAAGTCCAATACTTTTGAGAAGTTATAAAAAGCTGCTTCTTACTTTTTTAACTTCCTTAAGTATCGACAAAATGTCAGTAATGTTCTTTAGCAGATCTTTAGTCATTTCAGTCACAGGATGGAGAGTGCTTTGTTCTTTATCCAGCTGAGATTTAAGATGCTGGAAAAAGAAGAAAGATAAAACAGTGTGTCATCAGAAATGTATGACATGGCCAATGAGAGCTTTATTTCCCATTACCTGCAGCTCCTGTAGGGCAGTACGACTCTTGAGGTTAAGACCCCTTGCTCTGTCAACTCTGTCCTCTGCATCCAACAGCAGCTCGCCCAACTCTCTCACAGCAAAATGTGAGGCTATGAGAGAGTCTCCACTCTGAAGCAGGATGAGTTGTTTCATTTCTGCAGCAGCTATCATGTATGTTGCTGATGAGTTCTAACACTGAAGAGAGTATGCAAAATTTAGATATCAGAGTTATTTGATATTGGCCACAGAATGTCTTCTAACTCTAATTTCGACAATTATATTTTCATTAATTATGAAATTATTAATCTGCAGTTGTGTTTCTGAAATGGTTTGGCTGATTGTTCATGTCCACTTCAACTGCATCTGAGTTGTTTTGTTGGAAATCATTGTTGTAAAGTACAGAACTAAAATTGGAAAAAAGTTGTCTCTGTCCAAATATTTATGGAGCTAACTGTATATCTGCCACATATTTGTGTTTGCTCTGGTTCAATAAACGGTGAGAGCCTGGGTCACATACAACTATGGGAGTCAAAACTATCTCCACATCCAGACTATTTGATTTGCACACACAGATTAATCTTGCTGCCAGTCAGTCAAGAGTGGAGGATTAAAGTGAGAATCACCCCAAATGTGGAAGTATAGGTCAAACCAAGGAAGTATACTGGGCCTGATGTTTTCATGAGAATAATTCTGCTATCTGGGCATAGATGGATGTATCGACCCATTCGGTATAAAGGTACATGCTGGCTACTTAGCCTAGCATAAATACCGTAAACAAGAGGAAGAAGAGAACATCTGTAGTGTGTAAAGTAGTCACCTTTTTAGTTATTGGTGGGTATTTGTTCCTATTTCCATTTGATTTCAGCAGATATGCTGCAGTTTCATTTTTAGCAAACGGACATGCCAGTTGGTTATTTCTTAAAATGTCAATTAAATCTTTATACAGTCATTTTTATATAAAAAACATTGGTGAATTCTCAACTGGTGAAAGGGGGTTGGTCTTTGTGGAATAATTTAACATGAAACACAATGTTTGTATTTAAAATACTAAATGCCAATGTGTCCATTTTCAGCCCCACTCTCTCGCCTCATAAGCATACTTTAATCTCTATGCTCAAGGAAAAAAGATCTCTAACATTTATGTGCCTTCTCCTGCTCGCTGCCTGCTTTGTCCCTCTGAGCAGTGCAGCCTCTCTTTCTCATTTCCTGCATGATGCGCTGAGCTTCTTCCATCATCCTGCCTTTGTCCTTTTCAGAGAGAGAAACTGAATCTTCAGGTTTCGCCTCAGTTAGCTGCTTTATCAGATCTGACAAGAGGAGAGACAGTGCTGTTAAATGATATAGCTGAGCCCGATGCCCACTTTGACATAACAGGTAATTTGGTTTCCTTAACAAGTGTCACAAAGTCTTTGGCAGGAGAGGCAGGAAAGATCTGCTTGTACCTGATATCACTGAGCAGAAATTATTAAAGTTAGGAACACTCCAACTTCACGCTGATAAGACCACATATATTTTCATATTTCAGAGATGTACCTTGTATTGGTGTGAGAAGACCTCCTGTTTTAAATAGATCTTCTGCCTTTAACTTCGTTTCATTTGCAGACTCCAAGGTCTTCTTCAAATATGATGTAATGTCAAGGTTCTGGTAAAATTTTGGAAAATATTTAAATATATTTAATAATAAGCCAACATAAAGAGCTGGGAAAGCTCCCTGTGGGTTCTCTGTCTTTCATTCTATTTGGCTATCCTCTACTATTCTAATATGAGTTTGCATTTACAATTAAAAAGGAAAAATTATCAGTCTCTTGGATGAGTTACATTTTGATTAGCATGGGAAAATTCACTCCAGGTACCTCATCACTCAGTTGAGATCCAGGAGTCTCACAGCAGTCCTGTGCCTCCCCATCTGTACCTAAGAAACATTAGATAAGAAGTACTTTGAACTTGGAGAAATGTTGCTGCATGATCTGAAATAGCAAATATTCTCAAGGGCAGTGTATTTTCTCAGGAAAACACCTATTCCCTGTGTGAATCGCTACCTTTGCTTCAGATATGTTAGCCTCCAGGTTGTTCAGAGTAGATCGTGATACAGGACTATGACTGATGTTCTGCAGCTGAATAGCAGAATTATTCTCATGAAAACATCAGGCCCAGTATACTTCCTTGGTTTGACCTATACTTCCACATTTGGGGTGATTCTCACTTTAATCCTCCACTCTTGACTGACTGGCAGCAAGATTAATCTGTGTGTGCAAATCAAATAGTCTGGATGTGGAGATAGTTTTGACTCCCATAGTGTATGTGACCCAGGCTCTCACCGTTTATTGAACCAGAGCAAACACAAATATGTGGCAGATATACAGTTAGCTCCATAAATATTTGGACAGAGACAACTTTTTTCCAATTTTAGTTCTGTACTTTACAACAATGATTTCCAACAAAACAACTCAGATGCAGTTGAAGTG